CTTGTCATGATTAAAGTGGTATGGGATGGACCCAATGATAGTCTGTAAAGGAGTACTGCTCTCCATTATATTCCATCAAAGAAGCCAGCAATAGTAGGATGAGAGATCTATTTGGAGAGCCTGCAAACACAGTGCATACAGACTGTTCAAGAGGTAAGATTCCTATAATTTCAGTGCCAAGAGTCATTCTTCACAGTGTTGTTTTATTCTTATGCATCTAAGAATTTACGACAGCCAGGGAAAGCAAGATCCACTGTGATATGTCAGCAGGCTTTGGAACTTTTTGTCCTCATCATGACATAACTCTAAAGGTCACTCATTATCCAGAGCTTCAGAATATGCTGGCAAAATATTCTCAGCAGACAGTTTTTTTTTAATGACTTAGTGGCCCATAAACTACAGAACTCAAAACCTATTTCTCACGTTGGGTTACTCCCCCATAAACTTCATAACCCCCAAAGAAAAGAAAATATTTATCATAATTGCTACACCAGAGAAGGTTAGAGTTGGGTCCTTTTTAGACATTTCTCATTTTGTGGTCTTTGGACATCATATGTGCATACCTTCCGATTTCAATAATCCCCAGTGTTTTTAGACCTAAGGACATGAACACAAGAACATGTCATAGTGAGGGAAACGAGGGCAAGGTTTATTGTACATCAGCTGTTCTGATATTCTATAGTGGCCAGATTCTTGGACCGTATGAGGATTTATCTCCTAGTTGGAGAGACTGTTCTCTGGAATCTAAACAGTATTCTCTTGTTACCAATTGGCCCTTTCTATACACAATCCCTGTTTCACTGCCTTATAAAACAGCAGTGTCAGTGGCAAGGGCTAACCATGAAGTCTAGTGTTGGAGATGCATGTTCTCTACAGAGGTGAGCCTGTACTACTTAGAAGCTAAATGATAGCTTAGTACCCATCTTACTGGAATAAATTCACGGAACCCTCACGAATGCAAACCCCCCCTCCCCCCCAAAAAAACCTGTTGCTTCCCAACCCAGAGGAAAGATCTGCCATTGGAGGAGGACTGTATATGTGAATATGCAAGAAAGCTGAGAGTCATCTTTACTGCTTCTTCCAATACAATGTTAGGGAAGTTCTGGTTTACTAACTTATTCCCAATTTTTCACTGTTCTCTCCTTCCTAACATTTTGATTTTGGGTAGAAAGTTCTTGTCACATTTTTAAATTTCTTCATATTATGAAAGAAGCCTGTATATCTGTTCATATTTAAAATATGTATATTTTTTATGGTCTGTCTGGGCTTGATCATGCTTCTATTGAAACTGAGTTTAATGGAAAAAGGAAACGGTTTGAAGGGTGTGGCTTTGTTAGAGCTTGCTTAGCTTTCTGGGAAAAAACCTCAGTTAAATAATCAGAGACTACCTATTGCATTCTAAATTATTTCAAATATCACACCTGGTGCTGAAATGAAAAAGAGGGGATCTGAGAAAACTGCCATTTTCAGATGCTAATAAGAACTACAAATCATTTGTCTTTTGTTCCAGCAAAATCTCTCTGCTCTCTCCATTTCAAAGCTAAGGCTAAGTTTTTTTTCTAATGGTTTCCATTCTAGGCTGACAGTTTGAAAATAAATATAGAAAGAGAATTACATGCATCTGAGGGAAGAGTTATTGTGAGCTAACTCAGAACACATACATTGTTCACCTTCAGTTTCATAACTCATTTTCATAAAATTGAGAATGACTTATGAAAAGAAAAACAAGAATCATATTGTTCTCTTCTTGCTGGTTTAATGATGCTGGAAACAGGATAGGGTTAAAAAAGGTAACCATCATCAGTTGTTCATCATCAGGGATCCTGGTGAGGTAGGAGGGGAGGGGGCCAGTTCCCCACTGCTGTACGCGCACCCACGAGTGGGGGACCTGTCCCCTTAAACTGTATGTGGGGCAGGGGCTGTATGGGGGTGGACACAGGCTCAGGCTCCCACCCTGCTGCCCTCCCCTGGGGCCTCTGCAGCCCGGCTGTTCCCTGCCATGCCACATTGCACCCACTGGGCTGCAGAGGGCCTGGGATAGGGAAGCCGGGCAGCCTGCTGCCCTCCCCTGGGGCCTCTGCAGCCCGGCTGTTCCCTGCCATGCCACATTGCACCCACTGGGCTGCAGAGGTCCTGGGATAGGGAAGCAGGGCAGGAGCCCGAGCCTGCAGCCTGCACCCACCCCCACACCACATCTCACACAGGTCCCCCCTGCCCCCGGGAGTGTACGCAGCTCCAGGAAGCTGTCCCCACCCCTGGGCGAGCTGCCCGTGGCCCTGTCCTGCTCCCTGCTGGAGCCCTGCAGCCATGCACTACGGCCTCAGGCCCCCAGCCCCACACGCTGCCCAGTTGGGCAGCAGCCCCAGTTCCAGCACCAGCCCTGCGCAACTCCCTTCCAACTTCCCTCCCTACAGGGACTCAATTTCCCCCTCTCTCCCCCCCCCACATACTTACCTACAGGAGCTGCTTTCTAGGCTGCCTGGGGCCATGTGCGTGTTCATGCACATTGCGCCCCCTGCCTGACCACCCTCCTCCCTCTCTCTCCCTGCCCCCTACAAAGGGTTCGTTACAAAATTGCAGAATCCGTGGGCTTCTCCAGTAAAATGAGAAATCCATGTTTGCCTTCAGTAAAAGTTAAAATGGAGTAAACCATGGATTTTTCCATGGATCCCTGTTCATCATCCACTGCTGGAATTAAATCTAAAGATTATAATTGAATCTAAATTCTTTTTGAAAATTAAATTTATTTTACCTAATCAAACTTGAAATAATATTCTAACAAGTATAAAAGACAAGCCAAAAATGTCTGCATTTTTTATGTGTAACAAATGATTTATGATGTGTCTGGTGTGGCTTTATCAAGTAAGTACAGTAAAATCCATGTTATCCGGCATTCTACTGTCTAGAACACTCTACTAACCAGAAGGGGGGGGGGGGGGGGGGGGGCGGCGGGGGAGGGAGTGGGGGAGCTCTCACGCAGTGGCCGCCACCTACCACCCTGGGAGGTTGTTGCTCCGTGTGCTGCTGCCACTAGCCCCCACACCCTGCTCTACATTCAGCCACCGCCACTCTCCCCTCCTCTGCCCTCCCCGCTCCAAATCCATCCGGAAACCCACACTCCTCAGGTAACTGGCATTTTTAGATATCTGGCACCCCTCATTCCCCACTCATGCTGAATACCAAGGATTTTACTGCAATAGTGTTCTCAATCATACTTCATATTAAAAGGTAAAATAAACTACAAAATTGTACTGTTTGGAGATTAGTAACATGTTCTCACCAAAAAATGAGCACAAGAGTTTTGAGTTTAAAATTGAATTAAGATGCTAGGAATCTTTTATGGTTTCAAAATTCAAACTGCTGTGTAGGACATCATAGTATACCTGAGTTTTTTTTAATTATAATTTGATTCTGGCAGATTAATTCTGGTTTGTGAAAAAAGACAAAAAATGCAGAGAGTCAACATTCTGGGACTGTTCTGAGGATCCATTGTTTGTGCAGTTCTGATGGAGATGTTAGAAACTGGAAGGTGGTTTAGAAATTTCAAGAACTAGTTCAACTGTATTATTAATTGACTTCATTTCTCTCTTTTTCTTTAGAGTCAGAAACATCATGAAGTGTGCTTGAAAGAGCTAGGGCACAGACTCCAGAAATCAGAAAACCAGAACCAGAGTATCCAGAATTACATCAAGTTTTTGAAATCCTCATACATAACAATGTTTGGTTAAATTATTTCAGTTAGATAGGGCCAAATCTTGCATGGTGCTGAGAGCCCTTGTCTTCAATTAGAGCTAATGGAAATTGAAGCCACTTGGCACTTTACAGGATTGAATACTGACATTAAGTGCACATCTTCATTGGATTGGACAGGGCTGGAGTACATGTTCTACCAACTCTCTGCTGCTACGCACATACCTCCTATCAAAAAAATATCTTGTAACTGTTGTTAGAGTAATACTGGATCCACTAAGGCTATGCCAAAAAGTGGTCACATTAATTTTTGGGGATATAGCACACACAGACTCAGAGTTAGTGGGCATGGCACATTTTCACAATGGTAGGTTTCCTAGCTTTGTCCTGCACAGTGTAGTGTAGTATAGACATGGCCTACAGCTTTTCTCAGGGAATTTCCATTCCAGGTTATACAGTGTCAGACCTTACACTCAAGCATTATACTAGATGATCATGCACCAAACCATGGCATTACTAATATGAAGAGAGAGTTAATATACCTTAAAAATTGTGAAAAGGAAAACTGAAAGGTCAATGAAAGATGCATGCTCCTGTTCACTGTACTTCCATTGCTGTAGCCATCTTACTGGATTCATTTTGTACTCTGACTACCCTGACAGTAATAGAAATCCTAGTCATAGCATTTTCCAGAAGTAAAAAAATAAATGAAACAAATTTAAGATATCTATAGTATGGAAGCTCTAAATATTCTGTTTTCTTCCTTACAGTGGCCTGAGTTTGTGCCTTAATTTAAATATATGAATATTATAATTCATGTCAGTAGAATTATTCAGATGTTTCAGAGTAGCTCCATCCTTAAATACCTACCTGAACTGGGGCCAATTTAGAAAAGGTTCTGATATGGAAGCTGTTTTCTGTAGCAATTACATAAAGCGCTATTACAGAATTGTGACAGTTTTTGAAAAATAATAGATTCAGATATAATTAAACATCTCAATATATGATTCAAAGTGCACATTAAATCCTGTGTGTCTTTTTTAGATAGAAATATAACTGAAATTAGTTTTGTTTTTTGGGGAAAATTTTTAATAATCTTTTTTTACTTATTTCAAAATACTAACTAATATTTTATGGTCTGTCCCTGTGGTATGTCAGCAGGTTTTGGGGGGGGGGGGGGGGGTTGGTTTGAAAGAAGGCATTCACCCCCACAAACCAATGTGAT